CTCTTGTCCCACTATCATGCTCAGTCTTCATTTGGGTTTCAGTAATTCCTCTTGGTTACATTACCCTTGATCATGCCCTACCAGGCCTCCTACACCCTCCTCACCACCGATTTGGATCACTTGTTGTTCCCTTGTCCCTGGGTTTGTTTACACCACTACCTTTCCCCCCATCTCCCCCTCTCCCATGTCTCCCCAGAACTGTCGGTCCCATTGTTTTCTCCTCTAGATTGTTTATCCAGCCTGTTTTAATTAGACAGACCTGTCTACTCTGTTCTATAGGGTTGGGATCAACTCGATAGCAGTGTGTGCGTGTGTCTACAAATGGGGGAACGGAGGCAGTTCTGAGCGGACCTGAGTGTTTGGTATCTTAGTCCTCACCCTCCTTCCCACCCAGACTGCCTAGCCTGAAGGGAGGGAGTTTCTCCTTTCTGTGTGGCACTGCAAAGTCTTCCTACTGCAAACTCTCTCCCACATGCCAAGGGCCCAGGGGTTGATCATTAGAACATTCTGGAAGGCTTCACGTTCTGACATTCTCAGCTGTCACCTTGCATAGATAGTCCTTGATGCTGGGTGAGCAGTTCCGGGCAGACAGGTGGGTGTGCCACTCCCAAACCACTGCCCCTCACACATTACCAACCCTGAAGGACAAATAAATGTTTGTCTTTCTTCCCAGGAGCCCCATTGACACCCCTGAGAAGGGACCTGCAGAGGAGACGCCATGAACAGCCTCAAAGGTGGGCCAGGACCCCCACATCTGGAGGGTTGGAGGGGGCCCTGGGGCTGGGCTCCCCTCTGAGGCTGCTGCTTTGCCCCAACAGCTAAGGCCCTGGCCCCTGCCGAGGAGGAACGCAACAACGTCCTCAAGCAGATGAAGGTACGGACCACCCTGAGGGGAGACAAGAGCTGGATCGCGAAACAGGACGAGTCAGAGGGGCGGACCATGTGAGTTCCGGCCAGCAATGGGTGTAAGGGGAAGCGAGGGGTAGGTCAGCCAGCTGAGGGCAGTACTTGACAGCCCCAGGAGTCGGGGAGCCTCCATGAGCGGAGGCGCAGGCCAAAGTGAGGTGGGCAAGACCTTAGTGCCAGAGGGCTCTAGTCGAGTTCCCTGTGCCTGCCTGGAGGCCCGACCTGGAGGTAGCTGGTGGCTGCTAGAAGGAGCCTAGAGCCTACACTTTTTGGACCTCTCTCTCTTCAGAGAACTACCTTCTTTCCGGAGCCGCGCCACCTCCTTTACGTCCCCAGGAGAGGTCCAGAAGGCCAGGTAAGGAGTGGGCCCTGGTGACTAATGAGGAGGAGCAGGAACAGGGAGGGAGTTTGAATCAAGAAAGGACCCCAGGTGGGCAGACTTTCTGTGCCAAGGGTCTGTCTGAGCATCCTATGTGCTGCTGTGACACATTCGTTCTCTCACAGTTCTGGAAGCCGAACCACTGGGTTCCTTGTCGGGAGCTTTGGCTCCTTGTCCTCCCATGGCATCTGCACGCCGTGTGTGTCTGCATTCACTCTTCTCTATTTCTATAACTCAGAAGTGGCTTATGATCCACCCTACACTGGCCCGACCTCAGCTGAGTGATCGAGCCCATTGCATTAGATTGTATTAGCTACTAGGTGACCTGCTCAGTCCAAAGCTGGCACTTTTATTCACAGGTCACTGCATCAGGTCTGCAACTAGGCTGGTGTTTGTCCAGACCACCTGTAGACTTGTGTCCCCGCTCAGTTGATCAGATGGCGGAGGAGGAGGGCCATCCCATCAGAGGGGCTGTGTTACAGGCTGGGGGTACAATCTTCCTAGGGGACACCTTGGGGCTTGCTCTTCGGGCCTTCCACTGATTGGACAAGGCTCACCACGTTATGGAGTCTTCATCTGCTTGACATAACATAAGTGATAGAAATGCTAGTCACATATTAATTCCATCACAGCCATATCTAGGGTGGGTTTGGTGGTGGTGGGGGTGGACCCCTCTGATGGGCCTCACTTCCCTCATCCCTTTTCTGTCCTCAATAGGCCTCTGAGCACACGAGCCTCCGCAGGCTACATCATCAGGTGGGTAACACTGGCTCTGCCCACCCCTCCCCAAACCCCCCCCCCTCCAGCATTTCACAGCCTCTCCTGGTTTCTCTTCTAGGGGGGTGTTCACCAAACCCATCGACAGCTCCTCTCAGCCCCCACAACTCTTCCCCAGAAACAATGGATCACCCCAAAGGTGTGTTTGGGGGAGTCCTGCCTGCTGGGAGAGAAGACCCTGTTTGGGGAGGATTCTCCCTTGTCCCCAGAAGGGGGCCGAGTGGCAGCTCATGTACTCGGTCATCAGCAAGGACAGGCTTAGGATACAGTGGTTCTGCGGGTCTGGCTAGCTGAGGGCAAAGAGGACAGGCCCCAGACCCCTTTGCCTCTCCTGCAGTGCCAGCCCGGTGAGAGCAGCCAGCACGGGGCCGGGCCGCCCCTCACCATCTGGCTACAAGCTGACCACCGAGGACTACAAGAAGCTGTGAGTAGCCGGCTGGCGGTCACTTGGGGCCCCCAGAGCACAGCCAGGCCTGAGAAATTTGGGACCCTGGTGCCAGAACTCCCCAGGGATGCCCTCCACCCATCTGTATATTGTTTGTTCCTGGTCACTGCTCCCCAGGGGCAAGCTGGGTCCGGAGGGGCATCTGGGATGGGAAAGGTGGGGACTGGCTGGGCAGAAGGAAAAAAGGGCAGGAGCAGGGCAGGCAGGGTGTGCTCAACCCCTGACCCCCTAGGGCTCCCTACAACGTCAGGCGCAGCTCAGCAGACACAGCTGTGGAAGAGGAGGTGCCCTTCTCAACTAAAGAGCAGAAAAGGCGGTAAGAGTGTCACCGGGCATCCCAGTCGCCGGGGTCCCAGACCCTCCCCTCCCCCTTTGTGCAGTGGCCAATTGGCCATAATGGGGAAGGGTCTTGAGGAAGACCTCAAAAGATCTGCAGCACTGGAGAAGGACCCGCAGTGGCGAGGGCACCAGACCAGGTGGGGCAGGTTGTGTGGCCCGTGCCTCAGTCTCCTCGTCTGTAAACTGGGGATCATGAGCTGTTCCCTCAGTCTCCTGATCCCCATCAGGTCCGAGGCTGCCAGCAGTGTGGTCAGGAAATCATCGCCCCGGGACCACTCCTATGTCCTGTCGGCAGCCAAGAAGAGCACCAGGTGAGTGTTCTAGAACCATTGCCCAACCACTGGACCCGGTTCTCCCTCTGCTGGTGGCTTGGATTCCCTTTCTGGAAGCCTGAGGGCTGCTGGGAGAGGGATGTGGATCTTACATGTGCACAGGTTCTGCCCGACCTCTCTGTGTCCTTTCCAGCAGCCCTACCCAGGAGCTGCAGGCCCCGTTCATTGCGAAGCGGTGAGTGTCCCCCACGAGGAAGGCTCCTGGAAGTGAGGGGGGCGTGTGTGGGCATGGGGGGAGCCTGTCTTTGAGCAAGCAGCACCGAGGCACAGGGCGTGGCAGATCTTCCTATTGGCCATTGTGCTGCCCAGGCTCTTCCGGGGCTGTGGAGCCAAAGTGGCAGTGAACATTCAAAGGGGTGTTTCCCCTGCTCTCTCCAGGGACAGAGGGGCACCTTGTTAGGCCCTTGGGTGGTAGACTGCAGCAGAAAAGGGTCAGGAGCCACGCCCCTGGCCCCACCCTCCACCCTCACCTGTCTGTCCAGCCCTTATGGGCACACAGGCCTCCTAGAGGCATGAAGGAGACAGAAAGACAAGCGACCCAGGGGTCACCTGGGACGTGACTCTGACACTTGAGATGGCCCTGCAGGGGGCCCAGTGTCCTAAGGCAACCATTCGGACCCCTATCAGGGAAGGAAACTGAGAGTCAGGCAGTGGGATTCTTAGGCAGCTCCAGGGAATGGTAGGCTGAGGGCCTGCTGTGGGGGAGGGCCAGAAAGGTGGGCAGCTCCAGCATGGTGTGTTCTTACTGTCTGGATGGGTGGCCTACACAGAAGTTCATTGTCCTTGTTCTGGAATCACGGCACTGAGAGGGCCTCCCTCCCTTTAGAGGCTCTGCAGGCGGCCGGTGACCCTTCTGATACACACTGCACCACAGAGACCAAGTTCCAAAAAGATCTTGCTCACAAGTGCTGGGGTGGACATATAGTGAGGGGCCCTTGTTCCAGCTGGCAGGCGTGGCATCATCCACTTCTCTTCTTGCCCCAAGAGTGGAGGTTGTGGACGAGGCTGCACCTGCCGAGAGGAGCCAGGACCCGCCTGCTCTGGCAAGAGCCATCCCTGCCTTGACTAGGTAACACTCCCTTATCTTGGTCATGCAGTCCAGGCCACCTCCCTGCGGGGCTGCAGAGTCTGTGTCCCCATGTGCCCAGCACCAGGCCAGGGCCCAGAATCTAGGAGATCATGGGGCTGATGTCCTAGGGCTGACAGGCTGCGGCACATCTTAACCTGGTGGCAGACCAGCATTGGAGGGTTCGAGGGGCAGCTGCTAGTCAAGCCAAGTGGAACCAGCCGCTGCCCACCTGCTCCTCCTGCCAGGAGGTGGCTTCCTGCATGGATTGGGGGTGGGGCAGCACCAAGGGGTTCAGGGCTGTGCAGGGCCACCTCACCTAGCTGGGAGCTGGCAGCCCAGGTAGGTGTCTTGAACGCTGCTCAGATGGCTTAGTGCTGGCTGCGCAGAAGGGGGCCAGTCAGGCAGCAGGCTGTGCCCTGGTTTCTGAGCAATCAATCGGGCCTTGTCCTTTGCCGAGTCCAGCCCCGAGTGTCATCGCCTAGCAGCGCTGTTCTTCATAGTGGTTCTGAGACAAGTGCTGGGGTGGCTGCATGGACCCCCGGGCAGTGCTGGCTCCCCTGAGGCCCAGCTCCCCAACTCCAGCACACATCTCACCTTGTGGTATGTGGTAGGGGCCAGCCCTCCCACTAATTGTGGGTTTAATTAGCACAACTGTACGGTTGAGATATATAAATATTATATTAAAGTCACTGAGAGCATGAGCAATAGAAGAGATATTACAATAATGCAGTCAGACACATTACATGGTAGCATTGCTCACCTCAGCCCTGCTTGGTGGTCCATGTGGAGAGAAGGGGAAAGGAAGGAGGACAAGGGAATGGAAGGAGAGGGTACTGAGGCGAGGGGAGGAGCTGAGAGAGTGAGGCGCTCTCAATTGCTAACCCAGGCCTATATACCTTTGGGGGGGGGGTGCAAGCCCACTAATTACAGGTAAAGACATACATCACAGGAAGGGGTTGCACTATAGGTTATACAGTAATGGAAGGGGGTGGTCTAGGGACACACATACAATAGGAAGAGGAGGGATTGGGGGTATACATGTGGCAACATGGGCGGATCCTAGATTTAGGATGGCAGCTCAACTTTGATCTGTTTTCTGGATCTCCATATGAACCATCATCAGTAGGGTGTAAACCCCACCTGCAGGAACCAAATAGATGACTCCAGGTCTGTCTATTGTCCTTAAGAGCAGGGAGCGGACCCACAGCAGTCTGGCAACTGATCGCCCTCAGGGAGGATGCCTGCAAGCGTCTGACCTCCCCCCACATCATCCTGTCCATCCTCAGGCAGCATAGTGTGTGCCAAGGAGCCAAGGAGCCGAGGGCACAGCCAGGTGGGGCAGGGAGAGAGTGCCAAGCTTCTGGGATGCCCCTCCTGTCCCTGCTTGTCTCATTGCCTCCCCCCCTGCCCCCCTTCTCCATGATGTGTCTTCCTGAGTGAGGAAGGAGAGGCTGCAGGACAGCCATCATCAGCCACTAGGTGGCTAGAGGGGATGAGGCCATGTGAGGAGGGAGGGGGGGCAGGCTCTGAAGGGAAAGAGCAGGAGGAAACCAACCAAGCAAACAAACAAACAAACAAACAAACTCACCTTCGTTGCAGCACCCTGCGAGCTGCCCCTGTGGGTTTCTGAGATGGTCACGCTTCATGGGAGTAGAAAGCCTTGTCTTTCCCCCTAGAATAGACTGGTGGATTCTAATTGCTGACCTTGAGGTTAGCAGCTCGGGGTAACGCACTCCCTTGCCAGGGCTCACTGTTTTATTTGCATCATTCATTTAACAGAAGCCTAGGGCTGTGGAAGACGGGGTGCAGAGCCAATAATGCCCTGATGAACAGTGCACTCCGAAGTTGGGCATATAGGAGGGACAGTCAAAGGCAGTGGGGTGGGGGGTAAGGGTGGGTGTTCAGGCCAGGGCCATGGCCACTTGTGCCAGGTCTGCGAAGAGCCCTGGTGACACTGTGGGTTATGCTGCTAACCGCAAGGTCCGCAGTTAGAAGTTTCCAGCCTCTTGTGGGAGCAAGGTCAGGCTCTATAGTCTCATCGTTACAGTCTCGGAACCGCACAGGGGCAGTTCTCCTGTGTGCTTAGGGTCACTGTGAGTGAGGATCAGATTCGACGGCAATGAGTTTGATTTGGAGTTTGTGTGGGCAGGAAGTAAACGTAACTTGCCCCTATGGCCCCAGGCCCCTGATGGTATTTTAGTGACATGTCGGGCTTTAACCTGAAAGCTCAGCTTTTCGAAACCACCAGCCCCTCTGTGGGAGAAAAAAAGGGCTTTCTACGCTTGTAAATAGTTACAGTCTCAGAAACTCAAAGGGGCAGTTCTTCCCTGCCCGATAGGGTCACACTCTAAGATTCAATGGAAGAGAATTTGATTTGGAGTTTTTATGGCCCTAGGAACCAGAACCAGGGTCCCGCTTCAAATGCAGGAAGGGGCTAATATCGCCACCTTCTGGCCTCTGTGGGAAATGCGAATCCTATGGTGCCCTGGTGGCGTAGTGAGTTACACCTTGGGCTGCTAACTTCAATTGCCATCAGCCACTCTGACAGACCGAGGCGTTCTGCCCCCGTGAAGAGTTACTGTCTCAGAAACGCACAGAGACAGTACTACCGTGTCTTAGAAGGTCGCTAGGGGTCAACATCGACTCGATGGCAATGAGTTTTTTGAGTTTTCCTCTTAAAATACAATCTGTAGGACCGATACTGGGCTTGGCTTCTGAAGGCACTGGGTTTGGTTCCCCTGAGCACATTCTAAGACTGCTCTATGGCTCACTGTGCCTGGGTTTGGATAATGACAGTGCTCTGGCAGGAGGTGGGGGCCAGAGCAGTGATGTGGGGCAGCCAGTCAGGTGCGCTGTGGCCCTCACTGAAGTAGCTCCAAGCCCACCTGCCACCAGCACAGTGCAAGCAGCTGATCCTCTGCCATTCCCCTGCTGCCCAGGTCTCCCCCAGGCCACAGCGACAAGGAGGCTTCCAGCCCCAGAGAGCCCAAGAAGGATGCAGCTGGTGAGGGGGCTTTGAAGGGTCCTGACCCAGTCTCCGAAAGGTAACTCCCTACAGAGAACAGTCTTATCCCCAGGACATGGAGACCACATGCTCCACAGCCCATGGTCCAAGGCCTGCCCTTTGGAGCCTGAGGTCCCAATACTGAGGGACCAAGAGTGTGTTCCTTGAGGACTGTTGAGAGAAGGAGTCAGTGAGGCCTGGGATGAGCGATGGTGGTGGTGCTGTGGATTAGGGATCGTACTACCAAACATAAGGTCAGCAGTTCCAACCCACGAGCCTCCCTACAGCAGAAGGTGGAGGCTGTCTGCTCCCATAGGAATCAACAGACTCAGAAGCCCTCTCTCGGATCGCTATGAGTTACGGTCACCTCCATGACAGTGGCTTGTTTGGGAGTCGCCCCCCCCACCTCCCCGCCGCCTTGGGGCCTTGGATCTTGCCTCACTGGGCAGCCTGTGGCCAGGGCAGAGCAAGGCCACTGAGTTTGTTGGGGAAGTCGGAGAATAAGTCTACACAGGTCCCCAGAGACACCAAGCAGGGATCTCCATTCCTTTCTCACCTACTCTGTGACCCAGCTTGTCTGGAGAAAAGCTGGAGGTGTGGCCCGGGGTTCGAACACAGAGGCTTCTCTTCTGACCACAGGGCCAGCACACAGCTGAGCGACAGCCACCTGGGATCCGCACCTGAAGGGCTGGAGAGAGGAGGGTGAGTAGCAGGTCACCATCCAACCTGGGCTGTTGGGGCGGGCCCAGCTCCCTCCGGGGGTGGAGTCGGCCTGCTGCATCCCTGACCTCCAGCCCTGGTCTGGCCCCTTCTGCTCCAGCCCTGCTCCCATTCACAGCTGGAGCCCAGCACCCACGTGGTGCTGAGGAGCAAGGGAGGCATGGCCCCTCTTCTCCTTTTTGCTTGTATTGTCCCTTCCCTCCCCAGAGACCGTAGAGGACAGGGGACAACTGCGCTGCACTTCGCTGGCTGGTGGGCCCTGGACCTGGGTGGAAGCAGAGCCATTTCCTGAAGCAACTGGGGGTGCGGGGAGAGGGGAAGAGGTGGCACGGTGCCACCTGCCCCAAAGTGGTTGCAAACCAAGCAAGAGTCATCCCTGGGGACAGACAGCAGGCATTTTAAGATGTTGAGGGCCCAGTGGTTCAGGGCAGATACCAAAGTGAGAGGGCGCGGCCAGGCTGGTGGCTGCCGCTCCTCGTCGCCAGCCGGGCAGCCCCTGCCCACCGGCCTCAGTTTGGCCACACAGGACATGCTTTCAAAGCCCATGGGAGGCCATCCTCTCCCTCACTACCATCGTGGGTCATCACTTTGGGAGCTCTAGGACCCCGCCTCTAAATCTAGGAGCCCAAGTCTCCAAGGCAGGGGACAGCAGGCCCGGTCTCTGAGCAGGTCCCAGGGCTGGCAGCCACCGTGAAGAGAGCAGTGGTGGCTTCAACTGCCTCTAGGACTTACTTTCCTGCAAGACTGAGTCTCTCTAAGCTGCTATCAGTCGAATCCCTAAGCAGGGCCTTGAAAGGCTAAGTGTGCGTCATCTCACGGGTCAGGAGATGGCTCATCCCAGGTCTCTTTCCTCGCTGCCAAGTGCTTGTAGATAATGTACAGGAAGTCCCCACTGCAAGTGCCCATTGTGACAGCTCCATCATTAAGTCTGTTGGGGCCTATGCTGCGTACCTCTTTGTTTTAAATTTTCATTATTACCTTTTATTACCAATAGCTTTATAAATCTGATCTCTGAACATCTGCGAGTAAATATCTGAGACTGATAACCTCAGCAAGTGACATATTGCAACCTTGCATTTAGTTCACGTTATTGTTCTTGTTGTGAGGTGGTGCGGACACACAATGGTTCCAATGCCTGGGCCTCCATGTCCCTCTACCTCCTCGAGGGCCTGCCTCTCTTTCACTGTCCCTCCAGGGACTGCTGTCTCCGGACAACATGGCCAAAGCATGTCAGGCGAAATCTTGCCTTCCTTGCTGCCAAGGAGCACTCTGGCCATACTTTTACCATGATCGATTGGTTTGTCTTTGGAGCAGTGTTTTCAAATTCTTCACCAGTACCAGAATTCAAGTTCTTCGTCAGTCTTCCGTTTTCAATGCTGAGCTGTCCCATGCATAGGAAGCAACGGAGATCTATTGTGGTTTACGTCAGGTGCGGTGTGCCTTAGTCCTCAAAGTACCGTCCTTGCCCCTCAATACTCTGACAAGGCCTTGTGCAGATGTACCCAGGGCAGCATATCTTTTGATCTCTTGACTGCTGCTTCCCCGAGCACTGATTGTGGATCCAAGCAAGATAAAATCCTTGGCAGCTTTCACTTAAAAAAAAAATCATTTTATTGTGACCTCTTACAGCTCTTATCACAATCCATACATATTTCCATGTGTCAGCACATCTGTACATCTGTTGCCGTCAGTTCAAAACATTTTCTTTCTATGTGAGCCCTTGGTATCAGATTCTCATTTTCCCTATCCCTCCCCCACCATCCCTTCCCCATAAACTCTTGACAACTTATAAATTATTATTATTTTTTCATGTATAACACTGACCAGTGTCTCCCCTCACCCACTTTTCTGTTGTCCCTCCCCCTGGGAGGGGGTTATATGTAGATCATTGTGATCAGTTACCCCTTTCTCCCCCCAACCTTCCCCTTCACCTGAGGGGTTTATCCGTCCTGTTTCCAGCTCTTATCTGTACCCATGTATATGCTCTGGTCTAGCCAGATTTGTAAGGTAGAATTGGGATCATGATATTGGTGGGGGGAGAGGAAGCATTAAAGAACTAGAGGAAAGCTTTATGTTTCATCAGTGCCATACTGCTCCCTGACTGGATCGTCTCCTCCCTGTGACCCTTCCTTAAGGGGATGTCCAGTTGCCTACAGATGGGCTTTGGGTCTCCACTACGCCCTCCTCCTCATTCACAATAATATGACTATTTTTTGTTCTGGGTCTTTGATGCCTGGTGCCTAATCCCATTGCCACCCCATGACCACACAGGTTGGTGTGCTTCTTCCATGTGAACTGTGTTGCTTCTCAGCTAGATTGCTGCTTGTGTATCTTCAAGCCTTTAAGACCCCAGATGCTATTATCTTTTGATAGTTGAGCACCATGAGCTTTCTTCACCACATTTGCTTATGCACCCGCTTTGTCTTCAGTGATCCTGTGAGGAAAGTGAGCATCACAAATTCTGGGTTATTACAACAAAGTGTTCTTGCATTGCGGGAGTACTTGAGTAGAGGCCCAATGTCCATCTGCTACCTTAATACTTATGATTTTATGTACATAGATCTATTTCCTTATAATTATATGTAAATGTATTTACATATGTACATGCCCTTGAACAAGCCCCACTAGGCATTCTATGCCCTCCTCGCCATCGATTTTAGATCACTTGTTGTTCTCTTGTCCCTGGGTTGGCTGACAACCCCCTACTTTTCCCAGGCTTCCCTTTCTCCCATGTCACCCAGGAACCATCTCCTCTGGATTGTTTATCCCGCCTATTTTATCAAGATAGACATGCAGAAACAATAATAAGACAAAAACAAGATAGAGCAAGACAAATCAACAAAAGAAAAGAAAACAGCAACAACAAAAACCAACGACAAAAAAAGAGAAAATCCTGTAAATAGTTCAAGGTCTGTTTGTTGATCTTTAGGAGTGTTTTCCGGTCCAGTCTCATGGGGTGCCATGCTCTTGCCCCAAAGTCTATTTTTGATATTCCCCGGCGACTTCATTGCCTTGTTACCCTTGCTGCTTTGTTGCACGCCCTTAGCATTTTGCCCCGGTGTGGTTGGGTCAGATCAGCCACAATTCCCACACTGTGCCTTCAGTTTTGTCTCCCGTAGCGCTATGGGTCAGTGAGGGTCATCGTGTCCCATGGTGGGGCCAGCCCAATAGTCCTCTCCGTGTATTGGCTGCTCTGAGCAGGAATATCATCCTTGGGGCGTGGTGGGCCAGGATGTGTTCCACTATCTCTTCTTCCTTCCCTCTTTGTTTGCTCCTGTGTGGGCTTATCAGACGCGCTCCTCTCTCTGAGCTGTAGCTTCAGTACTGTCCTCTGAAGTGAATTCTTTTTTTTTGGGGGGGTGGGCATCCACGTAATTGGGATTGGGGCCGAGGATTTTATCTTGCTTGGATTCACAAGGCCTCTCTATTGGCTCCCTGCTTCATGCCGGTATGTTGCATTCATGTCTTGGTGCACCGGATTGAAGTCTGGTCCCTCTCTCCCTCTCCTGTGGAGAAAAAACAACACCCTCTCCTTGGGTGGGTTAGTGCCCTTTTACCCCTGCTACCCATGTTTTTCTCTCTCTCTCTCTTTCTTTCTTCTGTTCTTTCTTAATCCCCTCCTTTTTAGTTGGCTGCCATATGTATCCCTGGATATTAGGTCTGCCCCCTGCCATAGTACCTGGACCTCACCCCAGGAATGTATGTAGGTATACAGTAGCTTTTCCCCTATGCCCCTTTTGCATTTTTAAGCTTTCCTCAGCGGACTCATGTTATACTTGTCCTTTTGTGCTTGGCTTACTTCGCTTAGCATCATTTCCTCCAGTTCTTCCCATGCGCCAATGTGCTTCATGCATTCATCACTGCTTTTTAGGGATGTATAGTACTCCATTGTATGTGTGTACCACAGATTTTTAATCCATTCATCCTTTGATGGAAATTTGGGTTGTTTCTAACTCCTTGCTATTGTGAACAGTGCCACAATGAATACTGGAGCACAGATGTCTGGCCGTGGTTTGTTTCTTGCCTCTTCTGCGTATATGCCCAGTAGGGGGATTGCTGGGTTGTATGGTAGCTCAATCTCCATCTGTTTTAGATATCGTCAAATCGATTTCCATAATGGCTACAGGTCCACCAGCAGTGGACGAGAGTTCCTATTTCCCCACAGCCCCTCCAACACTTGTTACTTTCTGAATTTTTTGAATTGGGCTGTCTTTGAGGGTGTTAGGTGGTATCTCATAGTTATTTAGTTTGTGTTTCTCTTATGGCTAATGATCGTGACCATTTTCTCGTATGTTTATTGGCCATTCGGATTTCTGCCCCTGTTCAGGTCCTTTGCCCTCATCCTCAGTGGGCGACAACTTCCATCTTTTCTCCATTGATCATGATGTTATCTATTGGTCCAGTTGTGAGGATTTTGGTTTTCTTGACATTGACTTGCAATCCATGCTGATGGCGGCGGTCTTTTATGCTTCATCGGCATGTTGACCCGTTTCCATCAGTATTCTGTCAATTGCTTGAGCCTTGTTTTTGGCTAATGCCTTCACTGCCGCTTGAACTTCTTCCTTTTTTCTTGATCATATGCTACCTTTTGAAATGGAAGGAAGTTCACTAGTTTTTTTTGGTACAGGGACTGTGTATTCTTTCCATCTTTTGATGCTTCTTGCATTGTTCAAAAAGTCTCTTTTGCCTTTAGAATCTTTCAATATTGCAGCTCGAGCCTTGAGTTTTGTTTTCATTTCTTTCAATTTGAGATATGCAGAGTGTATTCTTTCATCTTGGCTGCTCTTTGAAATATTGTGTTCAGTGTATACCACTGGCAACAAGGTGATTTGAACAGAAACAAACAGATGGTTGTAAATTGGGGACTACCTGTGTCCTCACCATGCAGTCTGCTCCCAGTGTGTCTCTCTGTCTGTCGTGCCCGTGACTCCTCTCTGTTACAAGGGCCTCACTGAGAAGGGATTAGGACCCACCATACTCCAGCAAGACTTTCCTGGGAACTGAGAATATTTTTAAAGACTTTATTCCCAAATAGGGTTAACTTCATAGGTGCAGGAGTCAGGGCATCAACATAGCTTTTGTGGGGACACAAATCAACCCACATAGCAAACAGTCTGATGCTTGCAATTCTCTAGCATCGCTCCAACTTCTGTAACTTTGTCAAGCGGGTGCCCTTCCCGGCTGTCTCTCCTCGTTTATCAGGGCACCATTCAGATGGGATCAGACTGACCTCATGCAAAGACCCCTGGACACTTCACAGCCACCAGGCTTAGACCTGCCTTGCATCCTATAGCACGAGGAGTTGGAGTCAACTCCGTGGCCGTGGGTTTTGTCTTGTCGATTTTGGTTCATCCTGGAACAAATTCTGACCCCGTGTGAGTGCATCTCAGTTGCTTCCTGCGCATTCGCCCTTGAGGTGAAGTCTTTTCTTCACATTTTCTGTTTCCTTAAAGTCAAGTCCACCAAGAATCCAAATGAATAATCTCCTAGGGACTTTACGTTTTTGTTGTTGTTGTTGTTTCCCGACAATCGTTTCTATGTCACTTGTCACTTGACAACCTTCTAAGAAACTTGTCATTGTCCTTTCAGAGGCGTCAGCCGAGTCCTCATGGAAGGCACTGTTCTCTTTCCATTCCCTGTGTGGAGCCTCCTGCAGAGCTCACTGAATTCCATTGCTGTAGTTACACAGCTTAAAGGGCCAGAGAACAAACCCCAGGGGAGGCCGTGAGTGAGAGAGTGCAGAGCATGCGGCTCCACCCGCTCACACCTGCTTCTAAAGCAGCCACAGGCCCAGGGGGAAGAAGGAAAGGAAACCCTGGGCCCAGGCACCATCCTCCTTCCCATTGCTCACAGGATCGAATGGAGGCCCAATTTCTCAAATCTCTAATGCCACGGCTTGGTTGGACACGCTCAAGTTCACCTTCCGGAACGACACCTGCCCCTAATCATGGCCTTTCGTTCGCTTTCACTGTTGGCACAACCTCCCCGCAAGTTGCAATTTGGCATCCTGGGGTGGCAGGCCGGCCCAAACCTTTGCACTCTGCATCTACTTTTACCCAGAATGATTTTCACTGAAGCCTTATTTAGAATAGGAAAACAGGGAAGACATCCCCCCCCCTCACTATCTTCAAAGACATCAAGGGATTGTGCCTGACACACCAAAACAGAGAGACAGCAACAGCTGGCCCATTGCCATCGCAACCAATCAGACTCAGCATGACCCATAGTCAGTGTGAAACACTCCTTTAATCCCTAGACGAAGAGTCCAGTCTTTCAACTGGCTAGAAGTGAGCCCCAGTGGCCCAAAGTCACCTGCTAGTGGGCAGCCATGATTCAAACTGGAGCCTGAGCTTCCTTAACCACTAGGTGGCACTGCCCACCTTAACCACTAAGCAGCACTGCCCAGTGAGTAGTATGACCAAGCCCCAAGTTGAGGAGTTTGCTGACTCGGCCCTCCAATCCACCCTGTCAGGGAGCAGTTAAACAGAGACTTTGATTCTGTAAGCAGGCGCTGTGGGGCTGGGAGAGAGGCAGATACCAGTCAGATCTAGAAACAGAATCCCTGATGTGGTGAAAACATGGCAAATTGTCAATAAGCACAAGTGATTCTGTGCTTACTTTGCTGGCTGGGTACTGTGACACTGGCCTAACCTGTCCTGAATTGACCTGGTCTCCTCCCATAGGCTGTGCCCTGCTGCCCAATCTGCCCCGCTCCTGGATGACCAAGATGAGCAAGGCACCAGCTCTGTGTGCCCCAAGCCTGGACTCCTGACCACCAGGTGCGTGCCAATGAGCAGACCCATAAGCTTCTGGGCATGTGATGCCAGGGGCAATGCGGCCAGGAGGAGCAATGGATCATGAGGAGTAATGGATCATGGCAGGGATCCCTGCTGGGGGCTGGGGGCTTGGGGGGTCTCAAGAAGCCTCTCCTATAAGGATTGAGAGAATGATCTCAGTGGACACTAGAGGGCTCCTAGGCCATCAGGGTGGTCCAGGCTTCTGCCCTGTTTTGCCCACCCCACCCCGCCTCACTGGAGTGGCCAGTTTGTCCTGGCTGTGGTAGTTAGTAAGCTGTAGAAGAAAAATCTCCCCAGCCCCTCTCTGGGTCCTTGGGAGGTAGGTCAGCTGAGGATATTGTAACTGAGACGCAGGAGGAGCTGTCCCCAAGGACTTGTGTCATTCAGGGACCGTGCTTGTTCCTAAGACCAACTCCAGGGCTCACGTGCTGTCACCACGCACACCACTGCCAGAACTGAGTGGCAGCCTTTGCTGGCAGCTGTGGGTCTGCTCCTGTTTCCTGGGAGAACACAGTGGGGAAGGGAAGACTTGAGTTCCCAGAGCCCTCAGACAGGAGACCTCACAAGCCAGGGGTTTCCTCCCTCAGTTCCAGGGCACCCTGGGCTTCTGCTGGCCTTGCTGATGGGAAGACCATGCGCTCCACCGAGCCGGAAGACATGAAGGCTGACACGAAGAGGTAAGGTGGCAGCAGCCTGCTGAGCTGCAGTTGACAGGGCAGCTTGGGTGGTGGCATCCTAGGGTAGCGGGAAGGCCAAGATGGGCACTGGTAAAATCACACCCAGTGGGTTCTGGTAAGAGAGGGCGGTGCAACACCGCGTGAGCAGTGCCTTTGCGCCAACTCTTCACAAGGCAGAAGGGGCAGCACACACTCGGGGCTCTACAAGGCTTGGCGCTGCCTGGGCACAGTGAAGACTGACTGAGGCAAGCGTGAGGATCCTTGAAGGGGAGGTGGGCAGGGACGGACAGGCACGATGTGAACCCTTTCGTTACCTAGGGGACATGTTCCACTTCTGGTCTTTAGTGCCTGCCGCCCTTTCTATAACCATAAATCTGAAGAAACAGACCTCGTCCCACCCACCCCGGTGCCGGAGATCCTTTAGGGCAGGCGTCCTAAAACTACGGCCCGCGGGCCACATGCGGCCTGCGGAGGACATTTAACCGGCCCTCTGGGTGTTTTTGCCCCATTTGTTGTTTTACTCAAAATAAGATATGGGCAGTGTGCATAGGAATTTGTTCATAGTTTTTTTTTTAAAAAAACTATAGTCCGGCCCTCCAATGGGTCTGAGGGACAGTGAACTGGCCCCCTGTTTAAAAAGTTTGAGGGCCCCTGCTTTAGGGCATATGTATCTGACTGATTGTACCCAGTGCATTTCAGTTCAAAACCAATGTTTTTGTTGTTGTTTTCCATGTCACTCACCATGTGTTCCGTTACAGAAAATACATGATTTCAACAGCAACAACAACAAAAAAACAAATGTCAAAGCAGAAACTAATTTGGCCTTGTAAGGATGAAACTCCTAGGCGTCTCCTTTGTGTGCAGCCAGATTAGAATACAGAAGAAAGGCCTGGAAGTCAGGTCTTAGCTCCGCCTGGAGCAATAGTGCTCCGAAGGCCACAGCCAGGGTAGAGGAGCATTGATTTACTGGGGTACTGTCACATCAGTCAAACTTAGGACGTTTCAACACCCAGAGGTAGATGGGGGGGTGGGGTGGAGGGAGCTACTGGTAACTCAAAGGATGAGCACTGCTGATAGACGAGCCACAGTGGCCCCGGGGGTGTAGCGCATTGCTGGTATACCAGGACCAGAGCGGGGCTTTTATTCCACGTTTGAAGCTGAAGAGAAACCAGGTCTTATCAAGATGTCTGAAAATTAAAGGAAATTTTCCATCTTCACGGAGCACTGTAGATACTTTCCCTGTTTCTTTGCAACTAGCTTGGGTGACAGAGAATTGAAGCCAGTTTTGATTTCATTGTTCCTTTTTTGAGAGTCACTCCGACCAGTGTTTAGCTCCGATGTGGAAGGAATGTGGAAGGGCTTTCAAGGTGGTGACCCTTCTCTCTCTTTAATGAAAAATTTTATTGACTTATTTTTATTCTTTTCTCCCTTTTTTGTGTGGAATCGCACACATCCAGAGAAAAACACGCTGTACATAGTTGCACAGTGCACGCACCGCATTAAGCGAGTGACAGTCTCTCAGGACCCTCTCCCCCATGTGATTCTTCCTCTTTCTGTTTCCACCTACTCCTCCTCCTTCCCTCCCTGTGCCTCCTATCCCCCAGCATCATCTTCAAAGTGTTTTCTTTTGGTGTGAAAACCATTGTGTTCTTTGTTTCATGATTATGGTATCATGAAATCTTTCTTTCTGAGATTGGCTAACTTTACTGAGCACAATGTCCTTCGGTCTCGTCCACGCTACAAGGTATTTCACAGGCTCCATGTTGTTTTGTAACATGAAGCATGGTGCGTGGGGGCCAGAGGTCAGTGGCAGGAACTTTTTAATATTATTTACCTGCACGCAGCCAGGGAGGTGATCCATCTCTGTGTGTCTCTAAGGTTCCTGTTTGTTTGTAGACACAAACACACCTGCTCCACTGGTAGAAATTTCCTTCCAGGAAGGACTTCCAGCCAACGCAAACTCTCTGGAGCGCAAGGTTTGGTCTCATTGTGCATGGGTCACCATGATTCGGGGACTGACTTATGATCACAATGCAAGAGGTTCTCTGAAAACTTGACAGGGAACTAAACACAGCTACCCCCTCCCCCAAACCCATAGCTAGCGACCTTATGAGACAGGGTGGCACTGCCCTACGAGTTCCCGAGACTGTTGCTCTGTACGGGAGTAGACAGCCCTGTGGTTCTCTCTTGGAGCACTTGGTGGTTTCTGTGGACCTTGTGGATCGCAGCCTGCTGCATAACACCTACACCACTGGGGCGCCTGTAATTCATGAAATCGGAAGCAGTAACCACCACCAGCTTCTCATATAGAGGCAAGGACTGGGTTCTCCTACAATGCGGCAGAGGAGGAAACTGACGGACGCACTCCCAGTGATAGCTGGGAGGGCCCAAGCCCAGGCTCAAAAGGGCTTTTTGCAAAACCAATACAAACTATTGGTTGCAGCGTTTTACAACCCTGGCTGGGGAGTGGGGGAGGTGAGGCTGGCTATCCTGTCCCACAGTGCGTTTGACTTGACAGTTGGATGAAGGCCAGGGATGCAGTTAAACACCGACTTGCCCTACTCGGATCATTAGAGCCCTGATGGGAAAATTCTGTTCAGGAGCTCTCTCGAGTTCTGTGGGCATCGGGCATCGAGTCCCCTTGGCCTCATGGGTCCCTAGACAAGCGAGGAGTGGGGGTGACTGGGAGGGGTGGGGGCTGGAGGGCAGAAAGTGTGCGCCTGTGCACGCGCGCGCAGTCCGGGCACCTGCATGTCCACCAAATTTGCACCGATTTAAGCAGGCGCTCCCCCTTTGCGCGTGCGCCCCGCGCTCCAGGGCTGTATGCCTGAGCGCTCGAGATCAGGAGGCCGTGACCTTCATCCATGCGCCTGAGCTCCTTGCCGTTTCCTCCGCGGCAGGCTAGATGCAGTGCCCACCAGGAAATGCGAGGGTTTATAGAGCCAAATGGCTGCCTTAGGCGAACGCAACCTTGGCGGCACTTTGTCCGCGGCCATCCCCGCGCTGGAGTCATTGAATAGTACGAGACCCTGGACTTGAAGTCCCTGTCATCATGTCCACCTGGACCAGGCAGGGGTGGGACAGGGGGGGCCTCGTTATTCCAGCTGGAAGGAGCTGGTAGTGTGGCCTTTCTGCAAGGAGGCAGCCCTTCCACTAATGATGTAGGGAGAGCTGGGTTCGGGTGAGACAGAGTGAGGGGACAGGGACCCTATGTTGAATTTTTCTGCGGTGCTGAGTTCATGGCACTAGAAACAGGCCCTGACCTTGGCCCTGGCTCCATGTAGCACCCAAGGTCACCAGGCAGCTGCTCCATCCCATGGGAAGCAGTGTTTGCTCCTCTTCGCCCAGGACAGTGGGGGCCACATCTACCTGCCTTGGTCTTGGAGCAGTGGGCTGCTTGGGGTGAGGTCATGCCTGGGTGCCCTCTGCCTCAAGCTCAGAAGAGAGTCTCTGTGTGCCTGAGGTGACTGTGGAAAGTGGGGAAGTAAGCCTGGTCCCTGCCACCAGCTCCCTAAATGTGTTTTCCCCTTCCTCAGCACCTTCTCGGGGTATGAAGACCAGAAGATGGCCACCCCAGACGGAGAGGTGTGGAAGGAGCAGGCCACAGCCTCGGTGGGGGACCCAGGAGAGCCTGCCGCCCCCAGTCTGCAGCCCGCAGATGCCGGCGGTCCGGAGGGGCCACGCCACACCCAAGTACCTGAACTGCTCATTGAACTGGAGGACCACTCGGGCAGGTGAGGACCGAGCTCCATGCCTGTTGTGGGACGGATTCTCCCCACTGTCAATCAGGATCCACACCTCAGTGGTGGGCGTCGCCCAGATGGGGGATTAAAGAATGGAGAGTTAGCGGTGGAGAGATGAGGAGCTGGTGCCGGAGGGCAGACAGGATGTGAGAGCACTCCTGTGTGAAGCAGCTGAGAGGAGACGGTGTGTGTGTGTGTGTGTGTGTGTGTGTGTGTGTGTGTGTGTGCGCTTTACAACCTTTCTCTCCTGCAGACAGGATGACAGGGACTTAAGATCCAGGGCCTTGTACTCTTCAGTGACTCCAGTGAGCTCCCAGCATGAGAGAACAAGCAGGTGGGGGCTCAGGTGGTGGTTGCCATGGCTAACAGGTGGGAGCTACGCAGGGCTCCTTTTCTGTGTCACACAAAATGAAATCACGGTCCAGGTGTTGCTTCTAGTGCTGAGGCCCAGTGGGTCCCCACTCACTCCGAGCCATTTACCTTGTATTATGGTTTCAGAGGCTGGGTGTCTGTGTAGGAGCTTCACCATTCTCCCAAGGAGTGGCTGGTGGGTTTGAACCACTGACCGTAGAGTTCGCGGTCCCATGTTAGCCTACTTCACAGTGCTACCAGGGCTTGATCTTAGGTAGGCCAGAGGGTTTTCTTCTCTAAGAGACTGTAGCCCAAGTCTCCAGGGATGCAGTTATGGGAATACCACAAGCATAGGCTTCCAGCGTGTCACATGGCCGGAGGCTGGAAACCCGGGTGAGCGTGAGGCTGAAGGGATGGCCCTGTTTCACCATTTCAGTCTGTAGGGGCTGCCAGCCGTCCTGACTCTGTGCGCGTGTGCGTGTTGGGGATGGGGGTGGGGTTCCTCCCAGGATTGTGCCAATTCTGCTCCATGTGTTTCATGAACATAAAAGAGAAACCGGTTTCCAAACAGGAAATCTTATTCTGAGGGCAGGACTTGGACACAGATTTGGGGGAACACCATTTAGTCCACAAGAGGGAGGAGTGAGATGCATGTGACCTGGCCCAGAATTAAGCTCAAGCTAGGTGTCTCCAGGGAGCCCCAATGGAACTGTTCGGTAACCGCGGGGCTGCCAATGGAAAGGTCGTTGGTTCAAACCAAGGGACAGCTCTGAAGAAGAAAGCCGAGACTGTCTGCTGTCCTTAAGACTGACCACCTCCAAAACCCTCTATAGGAATCAACCCAATGACAGTAGGATCCCTGGTGGCGCCATGGGTTAAACAGTGGGCTGTTAGCCTTGGGAGGAAGATGAGGTCGCTTGAAAGATTGACGTCCTCAGAAATCCCGTGGCGCAGGTATACTCTGTCCTGTAGGGTCACTCTGAGTCCAGGGTCACCTGATGGCAGTGGGTTTGTGTGGGTCTGTTGGCTCAGGAAACTCCTGGGGTCACCTGATTTTGGGGCCTCACCCTGCCTATCAGCAGGGTAGGAAATGGGCACTTGTGACGCAATAACCTGTCCTGGGCTTCCGTTTCTGGCTGGAGACACCATGTAACAAGGTAACTGGGGGTGGAGTGGGGGCTGTAAGGAGACTCATCAGCCATTCATGCCACTAGTCACCCCATGGGCCGGTGCCCCTCTCTCAACTCAACGCTGCTGGAACAGAGGGGCCCCAAGTGGGTGGCTGTAACAAACAACATCCTATCATGCCATCGCCAGCTTCCTTTCAATCACCAAGGGCATGTTTCTCCGACTGCTGCTTTGGCACATTGGATTACTTTCTGACCAAAGACATTGGTGAAAACCTTCCATTTCTTCCTCACTAGCCTTTGGGTTTGTGGCATGCATGCGTGGCGATGAGATTTTCCTGAAGGCGGATCGACATAGTCTTATCCCAGACTACAGTGTACTTGGAAAAATATCTAGAAAGGTTCTCTTTGATTCTGAACGCAATGCTGTTCCTCTTAACTGTGTCGTTCCTAGCAGACTAATCCATATGATTTTTCTGATTCCAAATGGCCAACACCAGTCCATTTCAGCTCACTGACGCCCAGGAGATTGATCTTTAGGCATTCCCTTGCCCTGTTGACCTCTGCTTATTTTCCTAGATTTATCTTTCACCCTTGCCAACTTCCAATCATTAGAGTTTTCAACGGTTTCTTCTCACCTTGAGTTGTGCCCCATCAGCAAATAAAGAACCTGGAGACCCCAGTCTCACAGGTTTTCCTCCATCCACGTCACTATGGCCGACTTCGTCTTTAAGACGGTGGCTCCACCTCAGTCACATTTCGAGTGCCTTCTCCTTCCGCACTCCCTGTGACAATGTTCTGCTCTTATTCCTTAGGCCTTCCATACCTGACGGCATTTCATTGCTATGTGCAAGGTGGTCAACAGCTCCTTCCTCCCAACTGAGGAGCCGAGGCCTTCTTCATTGTCTGTTCTTAGGCTGGAAGGTTTGAGACCTGTTCACCTTGGGTGACTGTGACTCTGCTGTCATTTGGAATACCAGTGATGTACCAGCAACACTGCAACCCACAAGCCACCACAGTACAACAAACTGACAGCCAGGTGGTGGATTTGAATTCTGGTGCTGGCCAAAAACATATTGACAGTACCATGGCAGAAGAACAAACAGTCTTGAATAGCCAGAAAGCACCTTAGAAGCAAGGATGGCAAGAATTGGTCTCACTCACACCCAGCGTCTATTGCCACCCTACTGATCAGAGGGGAGCTGCCCTCGTGGGCTTCTAAGGCCCTGACCCTTCATAGGAGTAGAAAGCCTCCTCTTTCTCCTGCAGAGTGGCTACTGATTTCACACTGGCAGCCAGATGCCTACTCCATTATGCTACCAGGGTTCCTTCAGGGAGGCCCAGGCCCTGGAAATGGACACCATATTTGGTAGCGGGTCGGTGTTGACATGAAGGAGATAAGGAGAGGACAAGGATCAATGTAAACAGCTCTGCCAGGCCGTGGGGCTGTTGGAGGGGCAAGAGCCTGGCGAGAGCTGTAGCTTGACAAAGCTCCTTTGTTTGCTATGTCATGTTGAAGTAAGGAGCCTTCACCCCTGCTCCCAACCCCACCTCTATCCCCCAAGGCCAGGACAGAAGCGGTTGCATGATCGAGTGAAGCACTGAGCTGATTCTGACCGCTGAATATTCGCTGCAAGACCTCCTTCATCGGTGACGGCGGCCGTGCGTGCGAGGGAACCGTTGCTTCTCTGAGTCGCTCTCTCCCAGGCTCTGTCCCTGTGGTCGGCATGGCCCGTGGAAATCAAAGAGAACTTGCCCGCCAGAAAAACACGAAGAAAACCCAGGAGATTAGCAAGGGAAAAAGAAAAGAGGATAGCTTGACTACCTCTCAGAGGAAGCAGAGGGATTCTGAGATCATGCAACAAAAGCAGAAGGCAGCTAACGAGAAGAAGACAAGAGAAAAATGATGACTGGCTAGTTTGGAATACCTGGTGCTCCTGCCAACGAGGTGTATCATATGCTCTGAGATCAAGATTTTGTAGAGTGAACCATCATTACATATGTTATAACTTATCCTTATAAAACGGTCTATTTTAAACTTAAAAAAAAAAAAGACCTCCTTCATCTTCACTTTTTCTAGCTGTAAAAAACCCTCAAACTCAGTGCCGTTGAGTCGCTTTGACTTACAGCTGTAAAAAGGTACTGACTGAAAATAGCAGTTGGGACAAAATGGGGACATGCTAAGAGTTCACACTGCAGGTGGCTTGAGGCGATGGAGATGTAAAGGCGCATTGCCAGCTCATTGGTCTGGCAAGAAGTTCGGCCTCAGATGGCTCTGAGTAGACCAGGGCATGCAAGAAATCGCTCCTGACTGCATACCTGGCATCCAAAGATCCAGACTTTAAGCAGCACATTCAGATGAACTAAAATGGAAGCATGAGGCTGACTTGTGACGACCCTGCAGCAGTCAGAACTCAGAGTCCTGCACTCACCTGTAGAAAGAGGTTGGTCTTTCTACTGGTCTTCTGTTGGAGAGACTAATTCTCACCATTCCTTTGAGACTCAGCTGTACCAACTGGGTAGACGATCTCATTGAATTGCTCACAGGACTAAAGGACTCGGAGAAGAGGAATTATTTTAGACTCCAGGGCATCCTGCATCTGCCCGTTACTGGAAGCAACCTTAACTGCCTGCTATTTCCTTGCTACCGAAGCAGGTAAGAAGTGCTCCAACTCTGCAAAGAGAACTGTGCCCAAGTGTCATCGTCTGATCTCATTCAAGTGGTACAAGTACCCCAGAAGACAGCCTGCGGGATGCTCTTCGTATTTTAGGAGAATCTTAGATAATCTGTGGTTTTTGCACATGCAATTCTCCCTTTTCTGCCAACCATCTGGAAGGCCAGGGTTTAAACTGTGACAATGCTCAAAGAGCCCTGCCGAGTTCTGTAACTCTAGACGCATCACAGGGATCATGGCAGTTCACAATGTAAAAAAAGATCACAATGTAAAAAAAGAGCAGTGGACTGGGTGAGAAACGCAGCTTGTCATTTCTAAAGAAAGAGCTTTGCATCCAAGGGGCTCCTTACAGTCACCTACACTGAGTTCTGTCAAGATCAGAAAATGAATGGACTTCAACATGGGTGTTTTATGATGATGTGACAGTATCATCCCCACCACCTAAAGGACGAAAATTGGAGAGGCCAAGAGAACCCATGATGTTGATGGTGTTAGACTCTGTGATGAAGGAAGTAACCCTCAAAGCACTGTCTTTGGGCTCCGAGACAGTGGAAGGCATAGAAGATGTGTCAACATAGACTGAAAAAAATTCTCACCTATCTCAAAATCTAGCATAAGCGTGCTCCCTGTGGAAAGGAGGAAGTTAGCCTTTACCTAATACCATGTTTCCCCGAAAATAAGACAGTGTCTTATATTAATTTTTTGCTCCCAAAGATGTGCTAGGTCTTATTTTCAGGGGCTTTCTTATTTTACCATGAAGAAGAATACGGTACAAAGTTATTTACTGTTTTACTAAAAGAGACCTTGCACTTCCTGTCTGCTCCGACTGCACTGCGGCCAACACTGAGCTGCGCAGCGGCCGCCCGCCGCTAAGGTCCAGAGTCCAGAGTTGTGGTAGCTTCGAGGGGCCTTATTTTCAGGGAGGTCTTATTTTCGGGGGGGATGCCTTATATTTCAGCGAGAGGCAAAACTGTAAGTAGGTCTTATTTTCGGGGGATATCTTACTTTCGGGGAAACAGGGTAGCCATAGGAAAGCCCTGGATTCAGTTAAGGAGCAAGACAAGAGAATGAGTAAGACAATTGAGAGAAGTTCCCTGAGCTCCCGAGGACATCATACAAGCCTTGCAAGAGGGGAAAAAAGACAAAGAGTAGCCAAGATTTGGCCCAGGGCCCCCAGGAGAGCGCTCAACGCAGGCCTGCTCTCCCGGAGGGCCCAGTCTGTTACTGTTGAGTGCCACTGCCTTGTGCAGCATGCCCTTTCCTAAGAAGCTAACCCAGAATCCGTGGAGGCGGAAAGGGCTGAAGGGAATGGATGGAGCTTGGGGAAATCTGTAAAGGTTCTATCCTTGGAGCCCATGACCTGAACAGTTCAGCAAGCCAGTGGTTGGAAAGGGGAGACATCTCCCAGGTGTGGGTGGACATTATGGCTTTAAGTGTTTGATAAACATTAGGGAGGAGGTGGATGAGGCATTTATTGAAATGCATTGGGTTGAGGGCTCAAACGGGGATTTAAGCCTCCTGCTTTGTACTTTGTAACATTCACCTCTCCGCCGTCTAGTCCATGCTGGCTCATAGTAACCCGACAGGATGGGATAGAACTGCCGATGTGAGTTTCTGAAACAAACTGTTTACTGGAGTGGAAAAGCCTGCTTTTCTCCCATGGGGGCCTCATGGCTTTGAACTACAGACCAGACCCTGCGGAAAGAAGCCCAATGCATAACCACTATGCCACCAGGGCTCCTTTGTACCTATGTACTTAACCCAATGAGATAGTTAAATTTGATTATGCCAACCTGGCCGATGAACACATGTGGGGTTAATTGAAGGCCGGAGAGATAAATGGCTCGGTGAGCCTCGCCTTTCCAGTTCTCGGGTCTCTTGCTTTGTGATGGTCAGACCAGGGTGCAGCTGCCTCAGTCAGTTCCCTGCTTCAGCTGGCAAAGCTCACTTCCTGCGAGACATCCCTAAGGAGAAGCTACATGGACCTACCCTGATGCAGCCCTGGGTGCTGGAGCATCCAGGTGGAGACCCCTGCCAGCGCTGAGATGCTTACACATTCACTGACTCAGCTTTCCTCCTACAGTCGTCATCATTGCGTGTGTTTTGTGAGATGGAGGAGGACTTTGTGAATTGGTGTCAGACATATGGGCTAATGTGCTTGGGCAGCACTGGGTTGGGATGTTTTCTTGATGTGCACTTACCCTTTAAGTAAAACTCTCTCTTATACATATGAGTTTCTCTTATACATATGCGTTTCTATGGATTTGTTTCTTTAATGTATCCAGACTAACACACCCAATTTTTGGACTTGTTTTTGGTTAACCTGCACATTTATCTTGCACAGTTGGGGAAAGTGTTTATAAAAGTAGCCTGCTGTGGAGGGACCATGGGAAGCCAGGGAGAATTTTACCATTGACCCATTAGAATAGTGCTTCTCAACCTTCCTAATGCCGCGAGACCCTTCCATACAGTTCCTCATGTGATGGTGACCCCCCAACCATAAAATTATTTTCGTTGCTACTTCATCACTGTCATTTTGCTACTGTTGTGAATTGTCAGGTAAATATCTGATCTGCAGGCTGTATTTTCATTGCTACAAATTGAACATAATTACAGTGTAGTGTTTAATCACAAAAACAATATGCCATTATAGATTGTGAGATATTTATTTCTAATGACAAATAAATGAAATTTTGTCTTGAAGCATGGTGGAGCATGGGTAACAGTCTTCACATTGGGTACTCATAGGTGGGTGTATCTGCATGTGGGTGGACCCGCCTGGAGCTGGATAGAGGAGCGGTGTCTCGGTTCCTAAGACCATCAGAAATATGTTTTCTGTGAAAGGGTTGTTTGACCCCCAGGTTGAGAACCGCTGCATTAGAAGCATTATGTGGACTACTCTGATGACAGAAACTAACTCATGTTAAGGCCACTCCACCTCTGCTGGCTGGTTTTGTTTTGTTTTTAAGTGACAAGGAGTTGTCTGGTGATCGTTCCAGGGGATGTATCGTGGGCATCAGCAGCAACCAAAAATCATCCAGAAACTCAGGACGGATTTCAACCTGGCTCAAGCTGCTCCCTCAGCTTGGACTGCTTTTCTGAAACCAATGAGCTGGTGTGGGGGCTGGTTTGCTTCCTCAGAAAGGGTGGCCCGCTCTTCCTCTAAATGGAGATCGTTCGCCAGGACTCTCCCGAAGTCACCTTTCAGGACCAGACCGATTGACGATGTTGTTGTTAGGTGCCATTGAGTCGGCTCTGACCCATGGTGACCGTCTGCACAACAGAAGGAAACCCTGACTGATCCAGTGCCTGAGCCCACTGTGGCAGCCAGTCTAGCTCCTTGAGGGACTTCCACTGTACCACACACGATGTCCTTCTCCAGAGACTGCTCTCTCCTGACAGCGTGTCCAAAGGCTGTAAGACAAAATCTCCCCATCCTTGCCGCTCGGGCTGCACTTCTTCCAAGACAGATTGGTTTGTCCTTTTAGCAGTCCATGGGACTTTCATTTTGTTTTGTAAATAATTTATCGGGGGCTCTTACAGCTTTTATCACAATCCATCCATCCATCCATTGTGTCAAGTACACTTGTACATATGTTGCCATCATCATTTTCAAACCATTTTCTTTCTACTTGAGCCCTTGGTATCAGCTCATTTCCCCTCGCCGTCATGAACCCTTGATAATTTATAAATTATTATTTTTTCATGTCTTACATCGACTGCTGTCTCCCTTCACCCCAGTTTTCTGTTGTCCGTCCTCCTGGGGGTTGTTATATGTTGATCACTGTAATCGGCTTCCCTTTTCTCCCCCCAACTTCTACGTACCCTTCTGGGGCACTTTCAATATTCTTCTCCAGTACCACAATGCAATGCATCAATTCTTCTTTGGTCTTCCGTATTCAGTGTCCAGCTTTCAATGCAGATGAGACTAATGCAATTACCATACCTTGGGTGAGGCGCATCTTAGTCCTCAAAATAACAGCCCTGCTTTTCAAGACTCTAAAGAGGTCCTGTGCAGCAAATTTACCTAATGCAACCTATTTTTGATCTCTTGACTGCTGCTGCTTCCATGAGCATTCAATTGGGATCCAAGCAAGACGAAATCCTTGACAATTTTAAACCCTTTTCCATTTATCATGTCACCTGTTGGTTCAGTTGTGAGGATTTGTGTTTTCTTTACATGGAGTTGTAATCCATATTGAAGGCTGCAATCCTTGATCTCCATATGCAAGTACTTCAGATCCTCATTTTTAGCAAGCAAGGTTGTGTTACCTGCATATCTCAGGTTGTTAATGTTTCTTCCAATCCTGCTTCCACATTTGTCTTCATATAATCTAGCTCCTTTGATAATTTGCTCAGAAGACAGCTGGAACAAGGATAGTGAGATGATACAGCCCCGATGTGTACTTTTCTTAATTTAAACCATGCAGTATTTCTTTGTTCTGTTTGCACAGCTGTTTCTTGATCCATCTACAAATTTCTCATGAACACAGTGCAGTTTTCTGGATTTCCCCTTCTTTTCAAGGCTATCCACAGTTTGTTATCATCCACAAAGTCCAATGCCTTTCCATGGCCACTGAAACACATACAAACATCTTTCTGGTAGCCTCTGCTTTCAGACGAGCTATCTGACATCAGCAATGGTGTCCCTTGTTACATGTCCTCTTCTGAATACTGCCTGAACCTCTGGTAGTTCCTTGTCAAGGTGCTGCTGCAATCATTGTTGGACGATCTTAAGCAAAATTTTACTTGTGTGTGAAATTTTACTTGTGTGCAATATCAGTGATTCTGTTCTATAGTGTGGCATTCTGTTGGGTAAAGGATGGGCACAACTAGGGATCTCTACCAGTCAGTTGTCAAGGTAGCTGTCTTCCACATTTCCTGGCCTGGAAGAGTGAGTGCTTCTTCAGCTTGCCGAAACATTTCAATGGGTATTCCGTTGATTCCTGGAGCCCTCTTTTTGGCTAGTGCATTTAGTGAAGTTTGAACTTCTTCCTTTAGCACCGTTGGTTCTTGCTCATGTGCTATTGCCTGACATAGTGGACTGTCGACTAGTTCTTCTTGGTACAGTGCCTCTGTGTATTTTTTCTGTCTCTTCTTATGCTTCCTGTGTCCTTCAATACTTCGCCCATAGAATCTTTCAAGATTACAACTTGAGGCTCGACGTTTGCCTGGAGTTCTGAGTTCTTTCAGTTTCAGATGTGCTGAGCATGTTCTTCCCTTTTGGTTCTCTCAATTCTAGGTCCTAACACATTTCGTTATGACATTTGAATTTGTCTTTTCAAGGTGGTCTTTGAAATTTTCTATTCAGCTCTTTGTCCTAATCATTTCTTCCGTTTCCTTTTGTTCCTCTCCGATGAATCCTGCCTCAGACCTTGTTGCAGGTTTGGGCTCAAGTAAATGGAGGTCGCTACAATGTCTGTCAGACTAGCCCAGACTGCAGAGGCGATATTCAAAGGACCACTCCACTCCACTGCAGTGCCCGTCTTCCCTGGCCAAGCCTCTTATATTATTCAGGGAGGGCAGAATACAGAAAGCAGAAGAAAAAGCAAATTAAAATTCATACATTCCTAAGTAAGCCAAAAGTATATTTAGGTACAGTTTCAGGCGCCTTGTTTTATGGCCCTGTTCCTGGATTTTGTCTCCAGCATGCCCTTCTTAGAGGCTCTTGATAAGGAGACTGGGGTAATTTAAACAAGAAGGCACCCACAGACCTGCATTTTATTGTGATGTCAAAGCAGAGGCTCTTCAGAAGAGACTCCCAGGGGAGAATGCCTTTGGGAGCGAAGTGCTCTTGTGACAGTTCTGCTTAAATGTGGTAGCAAGAGCTTGTCTAGTTCAACCTGAGAAAGGACGGGGCAGGGGGAAAACTTGAGGAATGCCAGAAAGAAGGGTAGTTGTGGGGCGTGCTTGTGGATAGTCACATGCTGCGAGATGACGGTTTTAATGGTGTTGATCTCAGAAACACTTCGGAAAGCATTGCGGTTTTCATTTGTTTTGACATTGGAATCTCACTGAGCTCTGTTTTAATTTTAATATGAAACTATTCAGAATGGACCCAAAAAAGACTTGTGCTGACTTCTCAATAAAGTAACACTGTTGGGGGGGTCAATTCGGAATAGTTTCATATTAAAAAGGAAACAAAACAAAAGGGCCCCAATAAGCGAAAGCCTGAGTGGTGTGGTTCATTACATCAGCGGATTTGAACTTGGTCAGTGCTGATAGCCAGGCTGTGTACGCAAGCGCGCTTTTGAACCTGAGTTAAATGCTGTGTGACTCCAGGAGTCTGCTGGCATCATGTGTGCGGCTGCACGTGCCACCATTTCCCGCCTCCTAGGGCTTAGTCGCAGTGCTCACTGAGAAATGTGACCATCAACCCCTTGAAAGGACAACCCAGAGTGAGAGATCACTTGACTGGCGGTTCTCCAGCGGCCATGCCCAGGTCGGTCCCAGATGGCGCCGTTGGTATCACGAACGAATCTCATCCTCTCCCAGGTCCCGCCCTCCTAGGAACTTTTGGGTGTTTGTGGCCCTGCCCCTATTTGTAAGGAGCTCTGGTGGCACCGTGGGTTAAGCACCTGGCTGCCTCCCAAAAGGTCGGTGGTTTGAACTCTCTGAGGGGGACAGCTGTGTCAGTCGACTGATGTAAATATTCACAGTTTGGAAATGCACGCAGGCGGTTCCATTTTGCCCAGGAGGGTGTTTCTGAGTCAGATTCGGCTCAGGGCAGTGGGTCTGGGTTGTAAGTTCCCTCTTTGTTGGGTCGCCGTCCCTTTGAGAATCTAGTGAACATGACCGCCTTCCTGCTCCCCAAATGCAGGGCCAAGTCCAGTTCCACTGTCACGAGCGGCCGACCAATAATTACTGAACACTCTGACAATTTTGAATGCTCAGTTTATTCACTGCAAACACACCTTAAACCATCTAATAATCCTGATGTTAACTCGAACTAGAATATCATTGCAAACAAATATCAGGTGGAGGGGCAACACACTACATTATTCTGTCAGCATCATTGTCCCCATAAGCATTGCTCTCATCGGTGGACACACCCTGGGTAGAGTTAGAGACAGCAGGAGTTGATGTCTCCTTGGTTCCTAACTCTCTGAGAAGTCAGTGTCTCTACCTGGGTTTATATCGCAGTTCAGCTGTCCATTTGACGTCATTCTGGAAATTCCGTGGTGTTCTGCCAAGTCTTATCAGGGGCTCCCCAGACTTTCTGGGGTGGCTCTTCAAACCATCTGTTGATTCTTGGCAGTGGCTCCACATTTAGGCTGGGCCTAAATCATATATTCATTTCTTTTCCAAAATGCAGTTTCTTGTGTCCATGTCTTGCAAGGTAGTTCTAGGATGCTCCCATCATGCAACACAAAGAAATGAGGTGACTCACTTATGCATAACAGGGCAGCAGACGGTTCTAGCATCCTCTTAATGTCTGTTTCCTCGGCATCTGGCTGAACAATTTGTGTGTGTTTTCTTGTAGCTAACAGTTATGTCTTCCTATTCCATTTCCAAGGAGAGGGTATTTTGCTCTTTGAGAGAGACAAAGAAAGTTTGTTGAATTAAGATTCCATGTTTGATCTAAAGAACCCCCTGGTGGATTGGTGGTGAATAGCTTGGCTGTGATCCCCAAGATCCTCAGCTTGAAACGGCCCTTGGGAGACAGACGAGGCTTCTACTCCCATAGAGTTTCAGTCTCAGAAATCCACAGGGGCAGGGTGACCCTGTCCTGTAGGTTCACTATGAGTCGGCATCATCTCGATGGCAGGGAGTTTAGGCTTTGGGTGTGAGTGTATTTAACAAAAGTGTCTATTGCAGCACACAGTTTGATCTTTAGCTCAGAGCAGGGGAGGCTATCTTCTGCTCTTCAAGGCCGACTTTGGCAGAATGTACTTTGTTAGCATCTAGCCTCCCCGGCTCTTGGGCCTGGAGATTTTATTTCAATAGTGTTTCCATTCACTTGAGCCATCACTCCCCGACAAGCTTGGTGTCCACCCTTCACTCCCCTCCCCCTGACTCAGCCCACCAGGACAGCTTGCCTGAGAAGCCCCTTCCTAGAAAGCTGTGCTCCAGTAAAATTGGAGGCCTTCTGGCCCCCAGGCCAGGGGGATGGGACGGCGAAGGGAAAAGCTAGCGAGCAAAGGGCAGACAGTGCCCAATCCTGAGAAGACCTTGTCTTTGCCAACCGGAATGAGGTTGCCAGAGCACGTGGAGCTTGCCCTGGTCTTGGAGCAACGGGCTGCTTGGGGAGGGGCTGTGCCTGGGTACCCTCTGCCTCTCCCTCAGCAAAGAGTCCCTCAGGGGTGCCCAAGAGGTGACTGTGGGTGGTGGGGAAGTAAGCCTGGTCCCTGCCACCTGCGCCCTAAATGTGTTTATCCCCTTCCTCAGCACCTTTTCGGGGCATGAAGATCAGAAGGTGGTCACCCCAGCCGGAGAGGTGTGGAAGGAGCAGCCCACAGCCCCGGTGGGGGACCCAGGAGAGCCTGCCGCTCCCAGTCTGCAGCCCGCAGATGCCGGCGGTCCGGAGGGGCCACGCCACACCCAAGGACCTGAACTGCTCATTGAACCGGAGGACCACTCGGGCAGGTGAGGAGGACTGGGTGTACGGTGATCATGCTGCCAGCAGCCCGGCGTGTCCTTTGCCCTCTGTAGGTGTGAATGGCCAGGTGTCGGCTCAGAGGCATGGGTCCAGTGAGTTAGAAGGACAGAGAGCAAAAGGAGGGGGGGGCGGCGCTTTACCGCCCACGGTGTCAAAGGCCGCTCTCTGAGAGGTGGGTATGCCCTGTGTTTTCAGGGTGAAGAACCCCTTGAGCTGCACAGCAACACTCACTGCCACCGCCGAGCAGGTGCACACTCTCCCTCCACCGCCCCCGAGTGGACTGGACTCCAGCTCAGCCATGTAAGAAGGAACACGGGGCGCTGGCGGGACTGCTTCCTTGCCAGGAGCCTCTGGGTCTCCGCTGCTCACAGCAGCCCAGCAGCCAGGGCCCCGTGGTGCTGTCCTCGGCTCCTGTGTGTGGCCCTGGGCACAGATCTGCAGACATTCTGTGTCCCAAAGAGGAAGGAACTGAAATGGCACTTTCTGGGGTGTGGGTGGCCAGTGGCCCTGACCTCGTTAATGTCCCTAGTGCAGCATCCCCCTCCATGGCCCTGTAGGGTGAGGGGGCCCTGCCCAGCCAGTGCAGGCCGGAGGCTTGCCAGGAAGACAGTGAGGAGGGAGGGCTGCAGCCAGAGTCTGAGCCCAGGTACTGCTCTCCTCTCACAGCAGAGGGGTCCTCTTCGTGAAGGAGCGCACCAACATTAGTGAGGTCTCATCTGGGAAGCTGACGTCTTCTTGCTACAGCAGGTGAGGCCGCCCCAGTACCTTCTATTCCATGGCTGCCCCCATCCTTCGACATATGGTCTCCTGCTCAGCGTGGAGAGCCCACGTTCCCACTGGCTCACCTCCCTCCAGTATCTCCTCCACCGTCATCACCGCTCTATCACTTCTGCTCCCTCCTGTCCTGTCCCTTCAACCCTCTCTCTGCCCTGCTCTGTCCTGCTGATGCTCCCTGCTGCTCCCCTCACCCGCCTGAGACAGGGCCACTTCTTTGGTGACACACAGCAGCTTTCGGGAGCTGCCTTTGGAGCAGGCCACAGAGTCAGAGGATTCAAACAATTTGCTGGTTGTTAGTATAGTAACAGGGTCTGAATCTCTTTCATCATCCTCAAAGAAAGCCTATACACATGAACTGTCCCCCACATCATCATCCCCAGCCCCAGGAGAGCACAAGTCTACTTCCCACTAACTGGCTTAGCCTCAGTTTTGTAGTGGGTTACAAGTTGGGCTATTAACCCCATGGTCAGCAGTTGAAAACCACCAGGCGCTCCATCAGAGAAAGATGAGGCTGTCTCCTGTAAGCAGTGTCAGTCTGAGAATGGACAGGGGCCGTTTGCACTCTAGGCTTGCCATGAGTTGGAAGTGACTTGATGGCAGTGAGAGCTTTGCTCAGGGAACCTTCAAAATGAGAAGTAGTGTAAGCAACACCTCTGCCACACTTGCCATAGGTGTCCAGCACTTGTCTCTGGTTAGAGGTTTGAGTCCACATAGAGGAACTGAGGAAGAAAGGCCTGGCTATCTGCAACCTAAAGAGCATTCAATGGAAACGGTATGGAGCATAGTTCTATGCTGGTATGCACAGGGCGATCACGAGTTAATGTGGGCTTGAAGGCAACTGATTGGTTAGTTTGTGGGGGGAGGTCAGATGCTTACAGACATCTTCCCTGAAGGCAATCCTGCCAGACTGCACAGGGGTGGGCCTGCTCCCTGCTGCTGGGGACAATTGACTGTTTCTCCTTAAGGTTTGCGACCATTAGCTTGGTTCTTGTAGGTGGAGTTCACACCCTACTGATAATGTTCTCATCAGCTGAGCCAGGCAACTGGTCAAAGTTAAGCTGCCATCCTAAATCTAGGATCCGCCCATCTTGTCACATGTATACCCCCAATCCCTCCTCTTCCTATTGCGGGTACGCCCCTAGACCACCCCCTTCCATTACTATATTACCTATAGCGCAACCCCTTCCTGTGACATATGTTTTTACCTGTAATTAGTGGGTTTGCACGCCCCCAAAAGATATATAAGCCTGGGTTATCAGTAGACGGCTCTCTCTTCCTCTCTCGCCCCCTCACTCTCTTCCCCCTCTCCTCTCCCGTCCTCTGTTTCCCTTTCCCCTTGTCCTCCTTCCCTTCCCCCTCTCTCCACGTGGATCACCAAGCGGAACTGAGGTGAGCAATGCTACCATGTAATGTGTCTGACTGCATTATTGTAATATCTCTTCTATCGCCCATACTCTCTATGACTTTATATAATACTTATATATCTCAACTGTACAATTGTGCTTACTGAACCTGTGGTCGGTGGGGGGGGGGGGGCGGTGGCGGCCATCAGGGTGGCTCCATGTGGCTCATCAACAGAAAAGTCGGGGGGGGGGGGGGGGCTTGCCTCCCACCCCCACCTCATACTACAGTTAGTTGGTTGGTTGGAAGAAAGAATCAGTCACTGGGTCCATGAGCCATTAGCTAGCAGACAGTTGATTGCTTCTGTTTTACACAGTGGTGCTGAGCACGAATGGGCTGAGTGTTCAGATCTCACATCTCAGCTATTGCAAGCCCTGGGAAGCTCAGTGCTGCTCAGACACAGAGGGAGAGGCTGCCAGGCAGAGCCGAGGCACTGCTAACTGACTGGTTAGTGGAAGCTGGCAGAGGAGACCGTGGGTGGTAGAAAGACTATGTGTGTCCAACTGCTAAACTGGGCACTCCAGTTTATCCAGAGGTACTGCAGAAGAAATACCTGACAATCTACTTACAAAAGATCACTGTGGGTCCCCATGCATCAGAATGGACTGGATGGCCCCTGCTTGGTTTGTGAAAAGATGGTACTGGAATCTCTGACTAAGCATACGATTAATGTGCCCAGCTGCTAGCTGAAAGGTTGGAAGAAAGCTCTGGCAGTCTACTTTGGAAAACTCAGAGACCGAAGCCAGGATGGAGCCAAGTGCTGCTCAGGTGCACTTGATGACCACTGGTTACTTGGTTGGAAGGTAGGATAGTGTGATGCCAATGTTCGTGTGCTCTACTGGTGGTTCTAGTTTACTCAGAGGTGCTGAGTAAGAACATCCTGGCGATCTGCTACGTAATCAGCCATTGCAATCCCCTGTAAAGCATAGATGGAGGAGGCTATGAGTTGAAGCCGATTCACCGATAGTGGATTGGCTAGTTGAAGATGGCATTGAAGCCCCTGAGTGGTAGAAATGGTTTATGTGGCTCATTGCTAACCAAAGTCTGGAAGTTCTAGTTTACCCAGTGCCATTGTGGAAGAAATGTCCATCAATCCAATTTTTAAAGCAGGCACCTAAAACCCTGTACAGCACAGTTGTGTTCAGACACCCATGGGGTCACCGGCAGTCAGTGTCCAAGTACTGATAACTAGTTGTATTCTTAGGAAGAGGTGCGATGGTTGTAGAAATAGGCCCAGCTCACATGAAGGTTGGAACTTCTCCGTGGACATCAGTTGTGCTTTGGCATGTGTTGGGTCACCATGAGACAAGGTTGTTGGGTTGGATGCTGGAAGGATAGGACTCCCTGGTAGGTGGAAATGGTCATTTCCCCTGGGGCTCAGGGAGAAGATGTAAGCTCTGTTTTACTCAGAGGTGACGCAGAAGTAATGCCTGGTGATGCAGGAGAGAACAGTTCCACCCCAAGATATCCTGGCTCCCCATGAGTCAGAGTCGACATGATTCCTGGTGGTTTGTTGGAAGGTGGGGAAAGCAATGGTTGGGCAAATATTTAATGTGTGTGGAGCATGGAGGTTGAGGTTTGCTCAAAGATGCTGAGGAAGAAGCCCCTTTTTATCTATATCCAAAGCAGCAGCCAGGGAACCCAAATGGAGTTCAGCTCCACTCTGGAGTTTCTGGCTTGCTTTGTACTGTTTCGAAGAAGGGCCTTGCAGTTGACGTCGAAGATCAGTCTTGTACACTACAGGTCCACGCCGCACAGTGAGGTGGCAGTGCCTGGAAGCAGACTGTAGAACTGATGGCTGATGTGCCTCTCTGATTGTCTGACCCCGCCCTTTTCTCCTCTCCTCGCACCGCTTCTCTGCTTAGTTCCGCCAAATATTCCCACCCTGACACGTCCCTCTATTTCATGTCACTGTAATTGTCATGTGTTAGGTGAAACTCGCCTCCTGTCTCTGTCAGGCAGTGGGGATTTCTTAGAAATAAGCTGTAGCTTAAATGATGTCAGCCTCTGGGGGAAAATCTCATCACCCCTAATTGCAAAAGGGCCCTTCTGGGTGAAGAGCCACTTCTGCCTGAAAAACAACCAAAAATCAACGAAACAAAACACCTCACTGCCATCGAGTCAGTTCCGACTCAAAGCAGCCATTGTGGCCTAGTGCTGGAAATATAAGGTCAGCAGTTCAAAAACTACCAGCCGCTCCTTGGAAGAAAGGTGACACTTTCTACTCCTGTAAAGAGTTACCACCTGGGAAACCCACAGGGGTAGTTCTTCCCTATTCTACAGGCCCCATTTCCAGCAAAAGATTCTTCTTTTTAAGTGTACGTTTTTTAAATAAAAAACACGGCCACTGAGTCCAGTGGCACCGACACCATGCTCTGTGCCAGGGAACCCTGCAGACGCGAAAGCCCACCTGCCATCTGGACCGTTGCTCCGTGGCCCGAGGAGTTCAGACCCATACAGCATTCTCGAAGTGGCCGGGTATGGCGTTCCCAGCCCTCAGAATGTCTGAAAGCCCCACAGACCTACGCCCCCAGAAATGGCTGCTTTATGTTCTGTGAATGTCGCCTAAGTCCTTTCTTTCGTCACAAAGGCAGTATTCGTGGGAACAGGGAGACTGAAAAGGAACCCCTCATCCTGCCCCACGTACAGCTGTGATGTGGGCAGGGGGCCTGCTGCCCCTCTCTCCCCTTGCCCACCCCCAGTGTCTGGATGTGGAGGTGGATGGGCTCCTAGCCCCTGTCTCCCTCTCCCTGACCGGGCATCCCTCCTGTTAGGAAATGAGCCAAAGGCCTCCTGGTTCCATGGGCCGACGGGTGATGGCTGGCTTCCCTGGTCAGAAAGGGCCCCCAGTCCCTGACTGCTTCGCCTCCGTCACTGTCTTCCTTGCAGTTTCCACAGTTGCAGTGGCGGAGAGGACACGTGGGACATGGAGAAGCAGTCCCCATGTGGCAGCAGGTCTGCCCGTGCCCCCTATGGGAGAAGCTCCTGACCCACTATTAGAATCCAGTGGCAGCTTGGGCCAGGCTGAAGAACCCTGGCTGACTGCCACAAACCTGGAAGGTCCAGCTTGGGGCCGAGTAGGGAGGGCTGGTCAGCAATCAGGGAGTCCCAGGGATGAGGAAGTCCCTTGTGCTTTGTTATCCCTGGAGATGGAGCCACTTGTTTCTCATGGGAGTGTTCTGGTGGGCAGCTAGGGAATCCCGGCACACAGAGAAGGGTGGGCTAATTCTAGAGGAGCCGATTGGAGCCAGCCACTCACTCCCCAGAGGATGGCTGAGCACACTTCCCAGGGGGCGACCCACCCACACGACCCCTCTGTCCCCAGTGCAGGGAGGACAAGCCCAGACTCCTTCAGTACCACTGTCAATAGGCTCAGGCCTGGGCCAGAGCGAGGGAGCCCAAGGTCAACGGCAGAGAGATCTCCCAAGGAAAGCAACCTCATTTGGGCCCAGAGGCTTAAGGCAGGCAGACAGGGACTTGGGTGAAGGTCAGGAGCTAGACCAGCGGTTCTCAACCTGTGGGTCGTGACCCCTTTGGGGGTCAAACGACCCTTTCACAGGCGTCACCAGATTCATAACAGTGGCAAAATTACAGTGATGAAATAACAACAAAAATAATTTTATGGTTGGGAGGTCACCACAACATGAGCAACTGCATTAAAGGGTCGTGGTATCAGGAAGGTTGAGAACCACTGATCTAGACTGTCACTTTCAGACTGAAGATGCCCCATAGGCAGGCCGTCTAGGGGAGTGTTCTTAGGCTTCCAATGGCAAGATGGGCTCTGAGATGTGGGGCTGGGAGGAAGGGAAGCCCGGTAGGATCCACTGCAGAGGTCCCTATGCCAGCCTGATTCCAGGGGCCCTGGGGGCCTTGCTTTTCTTGTCGTAGAACAAACGGAAGGCTCTGCACATACTGCAACCGCGAGATTGGAGACTGCCCCAAAATTACCCTGGAACATCTTGGCATCTGCTGCCATGAATATTGCTTCAAGGTAAGTAAGGGGGAGAGGCGGTACAACTCAAGTCCGGGAGTGGCTGGTGGCAGGGAAGTGCATTCTCTCGGATCCGGAGCCAGAAGTCCAAGTTCAGGGGGTCATCAGGGGCAGGTCCGTTCTCATTTTTACATAGCGCCTGGTACCCTTGGCTCTGCTGGGAACCTAACTGAGGGCATTTGCCCAACACAGTCACCTTCACACATGCATCCTGCTCATACTAAGGTGGGAGAGGGCACTGCCAAGATGCTGGGGCTGGGTCAGCTGGGCCGCACAGGCTGCTGGGAGCTTGGCACTTTTACTGTGATTGGCACCATGGGAGCCGATTGCAGCTGAGAAGTGAAGAAGGGACAAGGATGGAGAGCGGTCCAGCCACTGGATTGGCAGGCGGGGGTGTGGTGTGGTGGGTTGGATTTGGTGAACTGTGTGAAAATAAAGCTAATAGGTGTTGCTGGGGCCGAGTCCATGGGTGGCCAGTTGCCATGACCATAAAGACAGAAGGGGAGCAGTTTGGGCACATGACCAACGAGGGCAGAGGCAGAGACGGGTGCAGGTGAGAGTCCACCTGAGAAAGCGAATGAGGCTATGTGTCAGGGCATAGGGACCCCATGTGCTGAGTGCAGCAGTAAGATCACAAGGGGGCCAGGGTCCTGTTGGAGGCGGAAAGGATGGGAGTCAGAGGCAGAAGTGGTTGCCCCTCCGAAGGGCCCAGCAGGCTGGCCAGGGCTCTGTCAGCATGGGTGTTGGCCCATGGGTCTGCCTGCCCAGAAGCCTGCGTAGGGCTCACTGTTGAATGTTTCTCTCTTGAGTTCCTAGACTCTAGCTTATCTTACTGCAGCTGCCCCTACTGCCCCCCTGAAGGGAGATGAGGGCACCAGAGCTTTGCACCAGCCCTCAGGGACCCTGCCCCTCTCAGCATGGGCACTCCACAGGGAGCCAGCTGTGGTCACTCGTGCATTGCAAAAGTGGAGGGGTCATTCTGCTGGGGAACAACACCTCCCTCTCTCAGGCTCGCAACTTTCTTTGGCCTTTAAGCAAGTTGAATCAAATAAGACTTAGACAAAATGGTGCCTTTCCACAATGTCAGATTTATTTGTCCAATAGGTGACAGATCAATAGACAAATTCATGAAGCCTCATGGTCCTTTGAAAGAGTGCTGGTGGCCTAGTCCTTATACCTTGGACTGCTAACCTCAACGTCAGCAGTTTGAAACCATCAACTGCTCCAAGGGAGAAAGGCAGGCTTTCTATTCCTGTAGAGTTTACAGTCTTGGAAACTTGCAGGGCAGTTGTACCCTGCCCTATAGGGTCACCGTGAGTTGGCATCGACGCAGTAACAGTGAGGTTTTTCCCTTTGTCACGGTCCTGAGTGTTAGGCTAACAATTCAATTCTACCCAAAGCATCCATGGTGCCAAGGTCCTCCGACAGTGACTCGGGACTCGCAGTGGACGAGTCCCGAGCTTGGTGACACGACGAAGGGAAGCTCTCAGCCTCCAGTGGTCACAGCTGGTCTTCAGGCTCCTCTCCTTTCCCCAAGGCAGTGTCGCGAAGAATCGGCCAGTAGCGCTCAGGGCCCCCAGAGGAGGTTGACTGTGCTGGGTGAGCACGGACTGCCGGCTGGCTGTCTCTTTTGATGTGTGGCTAGTACATTCATATGTGTCATTACATACGTCATGGATCACGTCATTTTTCTTTTCAGTCTAATGTATATGCTCATACGTGACTGCTTCAAAAACAAAAGAGGCACTTCCAACCAAGTCCCCTGCTCTGGCCTCAGCACCTCTAGATGCTGTTCCCAGCAGCTCCCTGCCTCCCTTTCCCTCCCCCCACTCTGGAGGGTCTGCTTTGATTGAGGTCTGAATTTTGCTTGGGTTTTCAAATCCAGGTAAAGGCATGCTTTGGCATTGTGCTGAATCACGTGGGGGAGGGGCTGCGTGTTCGGCACCCCGGGGGGCGCACATTTGTTGTTTCGTGCTGACTCATGCCATGTAGGGGAGCCTGCTGTGGACCATGGAGTTGTTGTGTGGGGTGCCCTTTGGGCAGGGTGGAGCCCCCTGACCGTTGGACCGCACTCTCTTCCAGTGTGGGATTTGCAGTCAGCCCATGGGTGACCTCTTGGGCCAGATCTTCATTCACCGGGACACCGTCCACTGTGGCAAGTGCTACGAGAAGCTGTTCTAGGTGGGTCACCGAGGCTGGGCTGCCCATGCAGTGTGCTGTGCCGGCTTCGGGGGTGGGGAGAGGGGTCTGAACCCTACACTTGAGCCTGAAGCACAGAGCAGACATTGTCCTTGGCAGGGACTGGGAGGGGAGGCACTGGGAGCTGGACGGAGCCCTCAGGCAGCACCCCTCCTGTCTCCTTATAGCTTCTCTTTGCTCCCCAGGTTAAGATGCTGCCGAGGATGCCTGGCCTGCCAGCCTGGGCCTTTCCGCCTCCTACCCTTCTCCCCCCAGTTGATTTCATCCCATCGTCCCTCTCCCTGCTCCAGGCCACCTGCATGTCCCTGGGGGCAAAGTGCCGAGGCAAATGCATAGCTTTGCAGTCGACAGACAGTTAGCACAGCTGTCCTGGGGGTCTGCCAGGACAAAGAAGCAAGCGCCTCACAGGCTGTGCCCTCACCTCTCCCAGGAGCCACCGCAGGGGCCTGGCCTGGGGCTTTTCCTTCCACAAGAGCAGATCCCCCCGCATCCCACGACTTCACCAGCCAGTGCTTCTAATCAGACTTGCTTAACCTGCCCTCACGTGCACAGTTATCATAATAAACACTCAGGTGTCACCTGTGGCCCAGTGTAGGCCTGGTGTTCTAAGTGTCATTCTTTGGGGTGCCGGACTGTCGGTGTGATTCCCTCTCCTGTTACATGAAAACCCTCCAACCAAACGCAGTGCTATGGGGCCAAGTCCGACTCATGTTGTCTCACAGCGACCCTGTGGACAGATGCACAAAGCACTGTCTGGTCCTGGGCAATCCTCCCGATTGTTCTCTAGTTTGAGCCCATCAATGCAGCCACTGGGTATAAGATTTCTCAGCTTGTAAATCCTCATGGGAGCAGCCAGCCTCATCTGTCTCCCTCAAAGTGGCTAGTGGATTAGAACCAGTGATCCTGTCCAACAGCACCCCAGGGTTCCTTGAAAAGGGCTGTGGGAACTCTACATGCAGTGCTTAGGGAAGTCTAGATGGGGCCTGGTCTGCAGTGGACAGAGGAGGCTTCCTATTCTTGTAAAGGGTGACAATCTTAGGAACCCCCAGGGGAAGTTCTAACCTGTACTGCAGGCTCACGGTGAGGCAGAATGGATGAACTAACAGTGAGTTGGGCTTAGGGACTAACATATACCTGCTAACAGGTATTATGCCCTAATGTTGGCTATCTGCACTGATCCACACCTCAGTGACAGGCACCATGCTCACGCTGCTATGCCACCAGCACCACGGTGATCTCCAAACCTTTTCCCTAACCCCACGCTCAGTGTCCCATAGGCCAGAGGTTGGCAAACTTTTGCGACAGAAGAGCCATTCTGTCCCTCCCAGCCATTTAGACTTACTTGCGAGCCACAGATGTATTTTCATAAACAAGTGAAATCACCATTGTCTGAATAATACCCTTTTCTTTTGTTCAGTTTTTCTTCTGAGCCATGTGTATGGCCCTGAAGAGCTGCACGGGGCTGGAGAATGGCAGTTGGGTGGCCCCTGCCCTAGGCAATCATTACCCCTCAAGACCCCCAGCCCCAGCCTCAGCTCTACATACATTTTTAATGTTATGTCCATAGACCTTGGTATCTCTGTAAGACTAGGGCCCTGAGCCCCCAAGGCTTGGTGTCTCCTTCCCTCAAGGCATGTTCAGAACTTCCCCCCTAAGCTCTCTGCTCTCCATGGATAGATTGGCCGCAAAGGTAACCACATACATAGGAGCATCAACAGCCATCTGATACGTATCCGCTCTTGCTCTCCTTACCTGCCCTGTTGGCACGTGCACTCCTATTTCGCAGCTCGTTAGCGCCCATCGTTCTTTCACACCCAGGCAGGTTCTCAACCCTCTTGGGTACGTCCAGTGACCAGGGGCTCAGGCTCTTATGAGCCCACCCTGTCTGCCTCCTGCCAGCCCTCTTAACTCCACTTCTGATATGCCCATCCTTAAAATACCTGATGAGCCTTCACATCTAACCCCCAATGTATACCAGTCCCCAAGATTACATCACGGCCCCAGGATGTGAGCCTCCCTGAGTCTCCACTCTGCCCCTAAAGTGTTCCAGGCTTCTGAGTCTTGGATCTGACGAGGTAATGGGTACACACCAAACCCCTGAACAGATAAGGGTGATCAGATAGAAGCCATGGTGCCCAGAGGTACTCCCTACCCCCACACAGAAGCCATGGTGCCCAGAGGTACTCCCTACCCCACACACGTGCGCGCATGCACACGAAGCAGGAACCTTGGGACCCAGTGGTAAATAGCGACCCCATTTCCCCAAAAGTAAGACATCCCCCCCAAATAAGACCTACTTACAGTTTTGCCTCACTGAAATATAAGGCACCCCCCAAAATAAGACC